GTGGAACACTGTCAAATAGCATAAGAATATTGAATACTGAAACATGATGAAGAGCACCAGAATATCGTCAGATATAGTGCCAGAAGATAAGCCCCTCAGGTTGGAAGGCACTCAAAATACGAATGGTTGGGGAAGAGCTACCTCTTCAAAGTAGAATTGGCCACGATGATGCAAATGGAATAAAGCTTTTGTGACCTTCATTTGCTAATGGGGCACAACTCAAAATGAAGAGAAACAACTGTAAATATCCATCAGTAATCAGAAACTGGAATGTACAAAGTATGAATTTCAGAAAATCAGAAGTTGTCAAAAATGAAATGAAACTCATAAACATAAATATCCTAAACATTAGTGAGGGAAAACAGACTGGAATTAGTCATTTTGAATTTGACAATCACATGGTTTAACTATGCCAGGAATGACAAATTGAAGAGGAATGGCATCACATGCATTATCAAAAAGAACATTTCAAGATCCATCTTGAAGTACAATGCTGTCTGTGATAGGATAATATCCATACGCCTGTAAGGAAGACTAGCTAATACCAGTATTATTCAAATTTACACACCAACCACTAAAGCCAGTGAAGATGAATATCAAATATGCACTTGAGATATACTGATAATTACTGGTAACTTGAATGCAAAGGTTAGAAACAAAGAGGAAGGACCAGCAGATAGAACATATGGCCTTAGTGATAGAAACAATTCTGGAGATGGCATGACAGAATTTAGCAAGACCAATGACTTCATTGTAAATACCTTTTTAAAATAATGTAACAGACAACTAGACACAAAGAACTCACTAGATGAAATGCAAAGAAATCAAATTGACTACATTTGTGGAAAGAGACGGTAGAAAAGCTCCATTTGATGGTCAAAACTAGGCCAGCGGTAGACTGTGGAACAGACCATCAGTTGCTCATATGCAAGACCAGGGTGAAGCTGAACAAAATTAAAACAAGTCTACATGAGCCAAAATATGACTGTAAACCTTTCCCACCTGAATTTAGAGATCATCTCTGGAATAGATTTGATGCATTAGACACTAATGATATCAAGCACATCATACAAGAAGACAGGAAAAGGTCATTAAGAACAAGAAAGAAGGAAAAGAACAAAGTGGATGTCAGAAGAGATTTTGAAAGTTGCTCTCCAGCATAGAGGTGCTAAAGAAAATAGAAGAAATGAGGCAAAAGAGTTTAATAGAAAATTTCAAAGGGCAGCTTGAGAAGACAAAGTCAAATATTATAATGAAATGTACAAAGATCTGGAGTTAGAAATTCAAAAGTGAAGAACATGCTCAGCATTTCTCAAGCTGAAAAAAACTGAAAAAAAAAAAAAAAATTCAAGCCTTTACTTGTAATAGTGAAGGATTCTTTGGGAAAAATATCAAATGATGCAGAAAGCATCAAAACAAGACGGAAGGAATACCCAGTCACTATACCAAAAAGAAATGATTGATATTCAACTATTTCAAGAGGTAACATATGATCAAGAGCTAATGATACTGAAGGAAGTTCAAGGTACACTGGAGACACTGGCAAAGAACAAGGCTCTGTGAATTGATGGAATACAAATTGAAATCTTTCAACAAACTGATGCAGTACTGGGGGCACTCACTCATCTAAGCCAAGAAAGTTGGAAGACAACTACCTGGCAAACTGACTGGAAGAGATCCATATCTGTGCCCATTTCAAAGAGAGGTGACCCAATGGAATATGGGAATCATTGGACAATATTATTAATATCATATACAAATAAAATTTTGCTGAAGATGACTAAAAAAATGGCTGCAGCCATACACTGACAAGGAACTGCCAGAGGTTCAATCTGGATTTAGATGGAATGAGGGATTTCATTGTTGATGTCAGATGGATTGTGGCTGAAAGCAGAGAATACCAGACAGATAATATGGTATTAATCCTGTGCTTCACTCACTACACAAAGGTTTTTGATTGTATGGATTATGACAAGCTATAGACAACATTGCAGAGAATGAGTACTCTGGAACATTTAATTGTGCTCATGAGTAACCTGTACATAGACCAAGAGACAGTTGCTCGAGTAGAATAAGGAAACACTGAATTGTTTAAGATTAGGAAAGTTGTATGCCAGGGTTGTATTTTTTCACCATACTTATTCAATCTGTATGCTGAGCAAGTAATTTGATAAACTAGATTCCATGAAGAAGACTGTGGCATCAGGATTGGAGGAAGACTACTAAAAACCTGTGATATGCAGATGATACAACCTTGCCTGTCGAAAGCAAAGAAGACTTAAAAGACTCCTGACGAATGGAGAAAAGATTGAAGTTTGTCAAAGATTTTATGGTGCTCAGAGCAACCATCAACACTCATGGAAGAAGCAGTCAAGAAATCAAAAGACATACTGCATTTAGCAAATTAGTTGAGGACAACTAAGGTGCACCTGACTGAAGTCATAGGTATTTTCAGTAGCTTCATATACATGTGAAAGTTGGACAATGAATAATTTAAACGGTAGAAGAATTGGTTCATTTGAGCTATGGTGTTGGAAGAGAATATTAAAAGTACTATGGACTGCTAAATGAACAAATCAATCTGTGTTGGAAGAAGTACAGTCAGAATTCTCCTTAGAAGCCAGGATGGTCAGACTTCGTCTCTCCTACTTCAGACATATTATCAGGAAGGACCAGTCCTGGAGAAGAACATCATGCTTGGTAAAATGGGGGGTCAGCGAAAAGGAGGAAGACTGTCAATGAGATGGAGAGGCAACAGCAATGGGCTCAAGCGCAGCAACATTTATGAGGTTGGCCCTAGACTGGGCAGTGTTTTGTTTTGTTGTACATCAGGTCACTATAGTCAGTACTGACTCAATGGCACCTAAATAACAACAACATCTTTTCATCACCAGACTATGTTTGAGGGCACGGTATGTTTCTGAGATATGTGGTTATCAGAACTCAACACTGTGCCTAGAACAAGCATTTGACTGGCAGATCAGTTAGTCAGAGTTGATAGAAATCCACAGGAATATGAAGTGACAAACCATAAAACTAGAGCTGCAAGTTTGAGGGTACTCCAGTTAAGAGAGCACTCTGTAACCCAAACCACTGGAAGCTTTGAAACATAATAATAATTATACATGTCCTTCCAAGAAAACAAAATCTCTCTTAGAAAATTTAGGAAGAAAATTAAGTTCTCTCAGTAATCATGATTTGCAGGAATTTACAATAATGGTAAAATAACAGCTCTGAAAATAGTAATCCTGATCTATATTGGCACACATGTCCTATTAAAATACACATTTAACACCAACATTTTGGCCGAGTAACGAAAGAGGAAGACCCCCAGAGAGATGGATTGGCAAAGTAGCAGCATCAACGGGCTCAAGTGTGGCAACAATTGTGAGGTTGGCCCAGGACCGGGCAGTGTTTCATTCTGTTGTACACAGGGTTGCTATGAGTTGGTGCTGACTTGATGGCACCTAACAACAACAACAACAATGAATGAGAATAAAGTCGTAGACAAATACTGTTATTGATTCACTGGAATAAGATTAGCTTTTCTATCCACATGCACCTTGCTGTATAAATGTCCTCTGACTTATTCTGCCTGCTCACCAACAAAAAAGAATGATGCTGATAAACATGAAGACAATGAGATTTCTCCGCCACAGATCTTTATATAAACTGGTGATCGCTTATATATCCCATTTTTTGTTTTTGTTTTTTTAAATTCCAGTATATCAATGGTTAAGGAACAAGTCTGAATTAGGAAAGAGGCGTTGCCAGAGGAAAAACAGAACTCTTTATGTGAACTAAACGGAGAGTAGGGTCCTTCAGGTACTTCGGCCTACAGTATTGTGTGTGTTTATATTAATTATTATTATTGGCTTTACATTAATTATTTAGATTTAATTTTAAATTGCAGTACTTGTGAAGCTTATATGGGGAAGTATTTAAAAATATTGACCTTAGGGGCCAAGCACACCTCAAATTACTTTGCAGAGATAAAGTTTCATTCCAATAGTATGTATATATGCATATCAAATTCTGCCAACTTTTTGGTTTGAAAAACGTAAGTAGTTTTCAAGATGGAAATTGTTTGAATATAGAGAAGTTTCTTTTATCACAGGTTAAAACTTACCTGTAAGTAAAGAGAAGTTTCTGTCTCAGAACCCTCCTGGACAGCACAAGAAAGTGTCCTGTGTGATTTGAACACGTTACACTATGAATTAGAATGACAGTTCCTCCTGATGTAAATATATGAGAGAGAGCATGAAACAGAAAACTTGAAGGAGAAGGGACAGAAGAGAGGAATCTAAAAGTAGGAGATAGAGTGGGGAAAATCAGAATAAATAATTGGATCTACTCACTTCAAAGTGACACTCTAAACATTTTATTTCCACCACTTACCATATCTACACTTTCTAAGATCAGTGTATTCTGTTTTGTTTTATCATCACTGGACTCTGTAATATAATTTTACATCACATTTGATTAACATTTATGACTACAAAAATGATTGAAACTTCTTCAATGTTCAATTGGACCAAAGTATACATTTTGATAACAAGACACATTGTGTATCATCATATAGATTTGTCCTATATATTTTTTGCTGCAGAGTAAGAAATCTGTTACAACAAATCCTAAAACTGTCAAGTCTCAATGTGGTTTCTTTAGAACAAAAGAGTTCAATATTCATGTAAACTGTGCCTTGTGAGCTGTGAAATATTGACTGATAATTACTAAACAGAGTTTCAGGTATGCACCAATGAAAAGATTTTCAGATAAGCGTCTTCATTTTACGTATCAAGAAACCCCTGGAGACGGCATTGTAAAGGCAGCCTTTTTTATGAGGCCCCTGCAGCTAATTTTGTGTTGCTGGAGTCCATGTCGCTGCCACCGTCAATCTCCTGGGTGTCTTGATTCCACGAAGGCAAACATCAGGTAATTTGACTCTGCCTAGATGACGGAAGAGTCACACTTCCTACGCGTTCTTTCAAAGGGATGGTTCAGGTCAGGTCAGTCATGGCCTCCGAGACCTCCGTGTTGCCCTGCGTGGGAACGCGTGCTGGTGTGATGTGGAGATAAATGTCATACTGCTGGTCCAGGCCAAGGTAGCAGTCACTCATGAGATACAGTGTATAGATATACCTGAAATGCAAACACAAAAATGAAATGCCACTTTTCTACTCACAGTCTTATTGAATTTTTCCCAACTTTAGTGGTGAGATCCTGCTTACCTCCCAGGTAATTCAGGGGTATAAAAACAGAGGGAAGCAACATGATGATTTCGAACATATCCTACTCTTTTCATGGCAAGAAGTTCTCTCTTATCCACTTCTCCTAATATCAAAAACCATCCTTCATCCTTTAATTTGGGAAATCGAGGTGTAACTGCAGCGCTTTCTTGCTTACCCTGTGAACAAGGTGAAAAAAGTGCATCAGTAGACTTTTATACCAGTTGGTTGTATACCTTGTCTTACTTGAACTATAAATCTACATGGTTCAGCATGTCTATCTGGGATGTTTTAAATTTTCTTGCCTTCTGGTTTGATGTCACTGATATGATATTATCTATCTTCCTTCAAGTCACATGCAGAGTCCCCTTTTGGGGCTATAACAACCAGAGTATTTGGCTCAATTAGAATAGAAAGTCCTCAATCTTGACATCTAAATTAATAAAATTTTATGCCATTCTTGTAACTACTATTCCATTTGTAGATGAATACATTAAGACACAAGAATACTAACCAAAATTTCCCAAGACCTTATTCATAAGGAACTGATGCTTAAGGGGAAAAGAGGTCAATCAAGAGTAGATAGACTCTGGATTTCAGAGATGTTGTTAGCTGCCATCAAGTTGATTCCAACTTGTGGTGACCCGTGTGTGCAGAGCAGAATTACTCCATCAAGTTATCAAGGAAGCCTATCACCAGGTCACAGGCCAGACTTCTGAGGTGTCTCTGGTTCCAACAGCTAAACCTGCAACTAGTAGTCGAGCACCTGTTTATGCTATTCAGGGGCTCTTGACCTCAGAGAACAATGAGTGCTGTATCATATGAGGAGTCCTGGTGTGGCGCTATAAGATAAGCACCTGGACTGCTAACTGCAAGGTTGGCAGTTCAAACCCACCAGCTGCTCCTTGGAAACCCTATACAGTGTTGGTGCGAGATGGAATTGACTTAATGACATTTAACAACAACAATATATCCTACAAATACCTTCTCTCCTAAGAAAAAGGCATTAAAGAATCACATATTGTAATATGTTAAATGCTGTTGAGTCGTTTCCAACTCATAGCGACCCTGTATAGGATTTCCAAGGAGCAGCTGGTGGGTTTGAACTGCCAAGCTTGTGGTTCAATGCTTACCCTACAGTTCCACAGCAGGACTTCTAATATGGTATATTAAAAAGTCGTTATTCTGAAAAGTAGAAACTTGTAAGCCAAGCAATTATAAAATATATTAGTCACCACAATCCAAGGTTATTCCAGTGATTCTTTAAGATAATAACTTTGTGACATAAAATGTACTAATAAAGACATACTGTTAATCAGCCTTAATTCAATATTCTATAAGAGTTTTCACTGTTGGTATTTTAAGAGATCTCAGTGACCAATGTATTTGTACAGCATTCAGAAATAAAATTTAGTTTCCCCCCCAAATTAAATCTAACTTTTAACTAGTAATATTAAAGTGAAAAAAAAAAAAAGTCTTAGGTTTACCCCATTTTCTTACCTTTATGATTGACATTATTATTATTATTTTTTTGGTAAGCCATAATATGTGAAGTCACCTAAAACTGTCAGCGGTCAATTAGTTCATACTAAGAAATCAAGTGAATTGGGGTTGGAAAAACAGTACATCATGGTAACAGAAAGTTGTTAGCTATTCTGATGTGTAAACAGAGAGAACAATACAAACGAACTACCAGCTCACTAACCTAAAACCAGACCCAAGGGCGTGGAGTGGATACTGACTCACAGCAACCCAACAGGATGGAGTAGAACTGCTCCACAGGGTTTCCGAGTTTGTCCGTCTTTATGAAAACTGACTGTTGCAATTTGCTCCTGCAGCTGGTGGGTTCACTGCAGACCTTTTGGTTAGCAGCTGAATGCTTTAAGCACTGTGTCATCAAGGCTCCTCTCACCCTCAACGTTATGTTGTTATTAGGTGCTGCTGAGTAGGTCCAGCTCACAGTGAGCCTATGGAAAACCGAATGAAACATTGCCCGGTCCTGCACCAGCCTTACTTTGATGTTGTAGCTAAGTGCCTTTGAGTCCGTTCTGTCTCACAGCAACCCTGGATAGCGTTTCCAAGGGGTGGCTGATGAATTTGAACCACCAACACTGTGGTTCAGATAGACCTTGTTGTTGTTGGTATGTGCTATGGAGTCGGTTCTGACTCATAGTGACCCTGTACAGGGCTTCCAAGGCTGTAAATCTTTATGGGAGCAGAAAGTCTCTTCTTTCTCCCGCAGAGCAGCTGGTAGTTTCAAACTGCTGACCTTGAGGCTCACAGCCCGATTCGTAACCACTACGCTACCAGACCTTAGAGCAAGGGCTTATTTTAGAGATGAAAAGCACCTGAATCCATTGGGCAAGAAAGAGAACACATTTTCTTATTTCAATCGTCATGGTACCAAAACACCAATCTGCCCACAAGCTGTGTACTTATATTCTTAAAGGATCAAATAATTAATTTTAGTGTCAGAGGCAATAGAAAAGACCACAGTAATTTAAAATGTAGGTTCTGTACATTTTTTGTCAGTCATGAACACAGAGCTGTTTCAGATGCATTATAATGAAAGAAGCAGGCAGATGTGGCAACTGAGGCTCAGAAAAGCTTAGCGACTTATTCAAATTCATAAAACTGACTGAGTGGTAAAGCTCCAATCTCATTTAAATCTAGCCCAGGGTGGCCTCTAGGGCAGTGCTTCTCACAATTAAATGTCCTTAAAAATCATTTGGGTGCTGGATCAAAGTATAGCTTTTGAGATCCCTTTCCCTGAGATTCTGATGCAGGTGGTCTGGAGTGGGGACCAGGGATCTGTACTTTAAAAGACCCTCCAGGAAATTCTGCTGCACTGAGTCTGTAGACCATACTTCGAGAACAGTACTTGAGGTGATACTGTATTATGTGAGTTGAAGACTCTGGAGTGGAAAAATGGCATGTGAGGAGAACTGACTCATGTCAAAAGACTGACTCTTGCTGCCTAAGGCCAGTTAAGAAAGCAGGATTCATGAATGACACGGACACATGAGTAATTGAAAAGATATGTGTGGCAGTGCATGCCGTTGTCTGGTGTGAAGTATGTGAGAATGGAAACTAAATACTATACCTTGTGGAACCCACTGTGGACTTTCTGCAAGCTGACTTGAAGCACATACTCTTGGTCAGTATGCAACTTGATCCATTTGTTGTCGTCTCGTTTGTCTGAAATCAGAGTTGGGATAGACAGTTCTTTCTGCCCTTCAACTGAGTCATCCCACCAGCCTTTAACACTCAAGCTGATATCTATCACTGGCAATCGAGATAAGAAATTCCATGCCTGAAGGAAAAGGAACAGAACAACATAGGAAAAATAAGAGAGAGGCATATTTAGTATGAAATACAACGACCAAGAAAATATACCTTTTAAAAAATGAACTTTTAAATTTTAAGATAATTCTAGACTCACATGAAGTTGTAAGAACTAGAATACAGAGAGATCCTGTGCACCATTATCCCAATTTTCTCCACTGTCAGTATCTGCCAAACTATAATACAGTATCACCATGTACATACTGACGCTGACACAAATCCACTGAGCTTGTTCAGATTTTCCCAGGTTTATTTGTACTTATTTGTGTGTATACAGAAACAGTGCACTTTTAATTCTTTAAAACCTGTTAAAAAATAACTGAGGAAGATGTACTCTTATCTAACGGGTGATCCATTTGATTGAATGGAGCTGTAAGATAAGCACTAATTGCAGGGTCAGCAGTGTAAACCTGTCTGTTGCTTTGAAGGAGAAAGATGAGGCTCTCTGCTCCTGTAAAGATTTACAGCTTTGGGAACCCCATACAGGGTCATTATGAGTCAGAATCAACTCGGTGGTAGTGGGTTTGGTTTTGGCATCTGTTCCTGGTGTGCGAGCAGTTTGTACTTGACTGGTTCAAACCTACTCAACTGCACGAAAGAACAAAGGTCTAGCAATCTGTTTCCATAGAAGATTACAGCCCTGAATCTATAGAGCAGTTCTAGTCTGCAACATATGGGGTTGCCATCAGTCACACTGACTCCACAGCAAAAACAACTAGGGCCTGTTTACTTTATCTTACTGACTGTGTATATCTGGGTGGTGTAAATGTTAAGCACTTGACTACTAGTTGAATCATCGACAGTTCAAGCCCAACCAGAGGTGGCCGACAAGAAAGGGCTGGCGACCTGTTTCAGACAGAGCACAGCCTCAGAAGTTCTATGAAGCAGCTCTACTCTGTATGCACAGGGTGGTCAGAAGTAGGAATTGACTTGATAGCAACTAATAACAACAACAAAAAGGAGCTCTGGTAGCGTAGTGGTTACGAATCGGGCTGTGAACCACAAGGTCAGCAGTTCAAAACTACCAGCTGTTCAGTGGGAGAAAAATGAGGCTTTCTGCTCCTGTAAAGATTTACAGTCTCGGAAACCCTGTACAGGGTCACTATGAGTCGGAACTGACTCCACGGCACATAACAACAACAGTGACAACAAAAGCATACTATTCTGTACAAAACTTATATGAGGTTTAAAAGTATTTATAGTTGAACTGGTTTGTTTTCGAGCAGCACATTTTTTACTGTTTATGTTACTTGTAAGTCAGAGAACATTACTTGGGTATATACAGGCAACTGAAAAGACTGTGATGCAACTGCTGTTGTCAACCAGTACCACGCATGGAGCTTATTGTATAAAAAGTCTATTTTGGGTGGGGTGGGGTGGGGGTCTATACTCCAAATTTATTTATTCCATTTATTCTTTAAAAAGAAAACCCAAAAAACAAACATTTCTATGTCTATACGTCATGTGACGCCCTGGTGTAGATAAGCACTGGACTGCTAACCACAGGGCCACTGTGAGTGGAACCCGACTTGATGATACTTAGCAACAACAACAACAACAACAATATGTCATACCCACCCCACTGCCATCTAGTCAGCTCAGTCGAACTCATAACGACCTGACAAGACAGAATGGAACTGCTACTTAGTATTTGGGAGGCTATAAATCTTTACAGGAGCAGAAAGTTTGATCTTGCGCCAGTAGAGTGGCCGGTGGTTTTGAACAGCAACTTGTAGTTAGCAGCCCAACACTTAACTCACTGTACCATCAGTGTTAGGGTTCCTCTGTAAGTCATAAGGAACCCTGTAAGTCTAGGATTCTTTCCAGAAATAAATATGTATTTTTGGCATAATCATGCTAAACAAAAATATCATTTAAAATGAATGACACATTATATGAGTAGCAAACATTTTACTAACTCTCTTTCTGCTCTTTATATTGAAAGTTATTTCTGAGAAATCAATGTGCAAATAGTAAAAATTTTGCTTATTCATTCAACAGTGATGAAAATTAAGTCCATGAAAAGTAAGACGAGTAACAAAGTAAAGTCAATGTCCTACGAATGAATAATAATTGAAGTCATGCTTTTCTGAGATTCATAATCACGTGGCGGTATCACTATTAGTCAACAAGCCTCTCAATAAATGGGCTGTTTTATCAGTTATTATTTTCTAAGTTAGTTTAAAAGGTACATTAATATCTTCTTTTTGTTTTTTCTTATACATATTTTTAAATATAAGGAGGGGACTCTCAAAGAGTTGGTGGGAAAATTACAATATCTTTTAATTCCATTTCTCCAAGAATTGTTTGAAGCCCCCTGGTATAAATAATAAGTTTCCTTATAAGCGTTGACTTTCTGCTTGCTAAGTAAGTACACCCAAGAGCAGTAGGGTAGCCCTGATAACCTAAGCTACATTATGTGAGGCCAGTGCAATTTCCAAATCCACTCCAATCCTATAAACTGTCTTGAGAATCTGAAATTATGTCTGAAACTAAATCTTGAGATGGTCAAGCCACAGAGTGGGCTGCTCTGTGTTTCCAGGTAACAATGATAGCATAGTCCCTGCTGAGTCAAACCACTAGATGTTCTTCTAAAATTGGCCAGAGTGCTAAAGTGATTGAGGCAGCACTTAAATACACAATTTCTGTAAAACATTTAAATTTGTGAGACAACAAAGCAACGTTTTCTACACAATGCAAGCATTCACACGTTTCCTTACCTGTACCACTAAATTAGTAAGCAACATAATGCTTTCTGTTATTAGCATCTTCTTGGAATTTTACTCTGCAAAGCCTCCAAAAGTCAGATCTGGCGTTTTATATACATGTAGCCTTTTTGTACTTAATATTACTATTTCTCAACCCACAATATGTACATATATATTTGTTAGGTATACGTATATTTATGTATATAAAACATGAGCTATTTTTAAAGAAACTGCTAAGACATTTCAATACCAGCCAAACATATTTATCTGAGGATTAATCTTCATCTATTGAATCAGGCGAGAGCACTGCCATGCATACAATTATTTAATTAGCAGCCAAATCCTCTGCCAGTCAGCAGCCGTTCCAGGCATACTGATGGGGTAGAAGATGCAAATCTCACAGTCATACTGCTTTTTCTCATTACTACTGCAATTAGCACTTAAATTGATGCTTTAAACATACTAATTTCTGGAATAATTCAGGATTTGTATGTTACCTGGGATCGCCTCACTGCAGAGCCCACACCAGATTGCTCTGCAAATTGAAGCACTTTTGAGCCAAATAACCATCATCATATCAGACAGAGCCAATTTGCATTTGGTTTTAAAGATAACAGAATGGCAATTTATGCAAATAAATTAAGTAAGTTTACTTCTGAGTTCTCTCGGAACTAATTATAACAATGTTCTAATTTTTCATCATATCTAAAACTTGGCCTGAAATCAATGTAAGCTAGGCGAGAAATTTGTTGTTGCTAAGGGAAGGCTTATTCTGATTTTAATATATTGTTTTTATTCACAATTTTGATGGTAATCTAGTTAGAAAGGTAGGCATTTATTATGAATTTTTAAGTAGGTTTTGTGCCAATTTTGGGTTCAACAGAAACTGAACAATCAGACTTTAATGGCTGTTACACATTTTTCAAGTCTTGCTCAAAAAAAAGTTCCACTAGAAAAAAAGGCATGGTCCAGAAGTTTGTTTTAACACCTGCATTTGCAAGTCAACGTTAATTATGTGATAAATCCGGAGCATTTATTGTGACATGTTTAGGGTAAAATAGCTTAAGACTTAAAGTCTAGATATGCCAAATATTTTTGGCCTCATTCATTCATATTTTTGGCCCTTCCAAAGATGCTTTGGAGAGATGACCCATGTTGTCTTTTACAATATAAATTTACCTTTCAATATAACTCATACAGCAGACAAAATTAGGACTTCATTTCAAAGAAAAGAATCTAGGCACAAGGAGGTGATTAAAAACAGAGGGAGGCATAAAGAAGTAACGAGGGAATTGTAAGAAAATATACATAAACATAAAAAAAGGAAACCTACTCTGCAGAGAGGGATTAAAAGGACTGGGTAATGCAGCCTTATGCTAGATGAACTTCCATGAGGTTAACTTTCAGGAGTATCCTATGGGGGGAACTTGAGCACCATGATGACAACTACTTAATAGCATATACTGAGACAATTTCTGATAATTCTAATAACAACTACTAATTACTATTACTATCATTATTTTTAATAGCATTTGTTGTGTTTTTATTCTATGTCATGAAATATAGAAAGCAGTTTATATAATAACATCTTGCTTAATTTTCACAAGAACTCAAAGTGGCAGGTAGTAAGTTACCGTAAAGTTCAAACACAAGTTAAGTTTGACCCCAAGACTCAGACTTTAAATTAGGAAAATCTTGTTATAGCATCTGAACAGAGGAAGGAATTCTGGAAAGTAGGGAGAGATGGTCTTACCTGCTTAATTTTTGCTGGCTGTAGCTCACTTTGAACAATGGAACTGAACACATGCTCTTTACCTTCACAGGCATGGATCAGCTCGGGAAGGCACTCAATGGGACCTTGGTAATCAGCATTTGGGCCCTTAACTGGCTTCCATTTCCTAAGAAATAACATTAACATCAACATAAATCTTCAACATGTCAATGAGATTTTCTGACAGTGATGATTTATATAATTAGAACCCATAGCTGATGGTATATCAAAAAGTATTTGTTATAAAGTTATAAAAACTTTTATTAAATAAAAATATAAAAATGTAGTTACTGTTTCTTGACATGTGCTCCATCTACATCTATCCATGTGTGAAGGCGGTGCAGCCATCTCAGTAACCCTTCCTTGGAGAATTCTGTGCTTTTTGATTTACACCACCTCAAAATGGCAGTTTTCACATCCTTGAGGGATTCAAATAATTTTCCTTTTTAAATATTTTTTTAAGTTTTAGGAACAAAAAGAAGTCTGAAGGGACAAGTCCTTGGCTGTAGGGTGGATGGAGCAAGGTTTCTCAGTGAAATTCGTATAGGACAGCCCAAACTACCAGAGAAGAATGAGCAGGTGCATTGTCGTGATGGGAAAAAAATTCCTCGGTACAGCTTTCCTGATCTTTTTTGCAACAAAAGATTTCAGTTTTCTTAAAACTTCTTACTAAGCCTCCACGATCATCCTGTGTCCTTGAGAGTACCTATCACAATTATCTTTTGGGGGTTCCCCAAAACAAGTGTCAAAACCTGAACTGATCACTCTTGCATTAAATTTAACTGGCCCAGAAGATCCTCTCAGAAGCCATTGTTTGGAGTGGTCCCTTTTTTTAAAGGCATTCTACCGAGACTAAGACAAGTGAACTTACTGAGAGAACTTGCCTGTAGCCACACACTGATCACAGAGACATGTTTAAACATGTTTTTGTTTGGAATAGACCCGTGCATGTATGAACTGGAACTCTAGTAGCAACAGTTTTTTACTTACCTTCATATTGCTAGCTTTCTTTAAAAAAAATCAAGATTACTATGTAACTTTTGGAGTTCTGGTGTGGCGCTGCGGGTTAATGTGCTGGACTGCAAAGTCAGTTTGAACTGCAAGGTCAGTGGCTCAAGCTCACCAGCCCACTGAAACCCTATACACAGGGTCGCTATGGGTCAGAACTGACTTGACAGCACTTAACAACAATGTAACTTTAAAAAGACCATTGCTGTATGTTTAGAAATTCTGCCAGCATTCCCTAAGGTATCAACCCAAGGTAGTATTGCTATTGCTATACAGAATGTGTAACTCATATGTGAGCTCAGTAAATGCTTGCGGTTCATAGACAGTGGACCACTATCTACAGAAAGGCATGAAAGGGCACGTAATCTTCCACATGGATAAAGTACTTATCTGGAGCCATGACACAATTTTTAATAGATATAAGTGAAGGATCCATTATAATTACTTGAATAAAGTTTTAATTATAAATTGTTGGGAACATAAAATTCAAAGTATATTTTGGGAATCTTTGAGATTTACTAACTGTTAGAGATAAGGAATGTAGGCCATCGAAACCTTACTCCCTATGACTTGCTTATGCAGTAAAAAGAAAAATAAACTGAAATGATACTAATATAACATGATTAGGGGTGACAACAGGGGTCCTGGTATGGTGCTGTAGGATAAACACTGGACTGCTAACCACAAGGTCAGCAGTTCAAACCCACCAGCTAATCTTTAGAAGCCCCATACAGGGTCACTAGATGAGTCGGAACTGACTCAACGGCATTTAACAACAACAAAGGTGACAGCAAAGGACTGGGAGAAGCCTTACAGCACCCAAGCAGCTTTCTTAACAGACCTGTGTACTGTGTGGGTTACTGCTGATACCTAACTCCCATCACTTTTAGTTTATACTTACGTTGGAAGAGCTTTTGAAACTGAGCTGCAGAAACACATGTGCTATCTGTCTTGTCCTTCATGTCATCTGCTGCTGGTGTGACTCACTCTCTGAATGTGCCTTTTAGCTTTCAGGAGCATCCTATGGTGGAGACTTGAGCACCATGATGACAACCACCTTGGAACCCAGTACACTTGAATCAAATCAAGGGGCTGTCCTGAGGACATCTCACGTGCGCCTGAAGTTCTTGTTGGCACCTGTACCTAGCTGCCTGAAATGATTGCCACTCCTCGTACAGCTGACAAGAGGTAGAGGATGCTTGATGACAAGATGCAGCTAGAGTGTTTTGCTTGTCTACATGACTGTGAACCAACATTTTGGCTGCAAAACATGTCTCAATTGGTGTGAGACACTGGTGTGAAAGAAACATTTTCATTTAAACACTGCCAACCTTGCTTGTATTCTGCACTGTTCTTTTCATTGCCAAATTATTTGTAGTCATGTCTTTGGGACCTAAGGGTTACATGATTTGATGCTAATATAAACTCTTCTTTTAAGCACAGGTTATCTTGTGAGCTATTAGTGTATTTACTCAGGTTTGCACATTTTGCACAGGCACAATTTACTTTGGACAATGGATTTCAGAACCCTAAATCTATTTTGCAATAACAGAAGCAAGAAACTTGCTTTGTTTTAGACCACAAATATTTTAATAACATCTCCCTAAAGGAAAGCCAATAGTATAAAAGAAAGAACACAGTTAAAATAGAAATGTATACAATGTGGCTGATGGGAAAGAAGTTAAAGAGGAAGTTAAAATGAGCTGTGGTTCAGCTTGGAATAGATGATCAAATTCCAAGTAAGAACACAACGTCAATAGACCATTTGCACTCTCCTTGAAACAGGCATTTTCATGGCAAAGAATCAACATTCTAGGGCACAACGTGAAATTCAAGTGACCACCACCCACATTAAAGAAAAAATTTTTTTTGAAATAACAAACTAATTAAAGTAAAAATTAAAACACTCACCTGAAAAGGTGAAGATGCTGTTGCTCTATGTGTGGTAGGGTAAGGAGAGAAGAACCTTTTAACCACCGACCCTGGACAACCATCTGAACTAGATGGGTGATATTCAGGGCAGTCACCAGCCAGCCTTGGTTTGCAGCCACATCCAGCATTGCCTGAATAGGAAGAAAACACATGCCCACTCCATTAGGAATCAGATGCTAGCTTTAACAAAAACAAACACTAAGACCAACCATTGTGTGTATAAATTACTATCAGTCAAAATAGAAACCAGAAAATAAACTACACTTGGAGTCGGATGAAACAAACTGAACCTCTCTTAGCATTCAACAAATGTTATTTCCTCGAACGGACCAGACACGAAGCTTTTTCTTTTTTTAAGGCAGCACAGATAAGCCAGACAACACTGGTATCCAAAAAATAAAAAAGAAAATTCTGTTCTTTGAGAGCAAATACTTCTATAGTTCACTTTATCAAGTGTATAAGCATTTAAAGAGTAAGGTTTACATAATCTTTTTCATATTTAAATTCATTACTTGTAAGAAGGTAAAAAACTGTCCTTGTCAAAAATCTGTTTTCCCCAAAGAGCAGACTAATGACAGAGTCCTGGTATTCAACGAAAACAACACACCATACAACTAGCAAAGGAGGCAACTGAATGTGTTATGTGTGGAATGATGGGAAGCCATTCATATTAGTCTATACATTTAATCAAATGTTTTATGGATAAACAAAAGGCCACATTTGTCTAAGGCAAAACTAAACAATGAAATCTTATTTAAACAAAGAACAAGTTTACACAGGCAAAGGTATTTCAATTAAATTAGACAGACTCTGGAAGAATGCTGACTTAAAGACACCTAAGTTATGAATCGGGCTGCTAACCTCAGGGTCAGCAGCTTGAAACTACCAGCTGCTCCGCGGGAGAAAGATGAGGCTTTCTGCTCCTGTAAATATTTATAGTCTCAGAAACCCTGTACAGGGTCGCTAGAGTCGGATTCGACAACACGGCACATAACAACAACAATAACAACAAGTTTATACAACAATAGACAGCTACCTTATATAGTTTTAGGAATGGACTCTCATTTCAGGAAATGAAAAGATGATGGCATCAGGTTAGATGTACCTAGTAAATGCTTAAAAAGATACTTCAATAGTAAAGAGCTCACTGACATTAAAATATTTCTAATGTGCTAAAATTTATTAGTGGAAATTCATAACTAATCTTTAAAGTATACGTTGTTGTTGTTGTTGAGTGCCACTGAGTCAATTTCGACCCATAGTGACCCTGTATAGGGCTTCCAAGGAGCAGCTGGTGAGATTGAACCTCCGACCTTACAGTTCAAATGGCTTTGCAGTCTGGCGCATTAACCCACAGCGCCACACCAGGACTCCAGTTTTGTAAAATTAATTGGCCACTTAACACTATTTGGACAGATACACTTTCCTTCTTATCTGCATTAAACTATCATCTGTGTTCTGTAACTTAAAAACAGTAAAATAGTTTTAAAAATCTTCAACATCTACCTCAAACGATTTGTAGTCTCTTTTATATATATTGCAGGAAAGTGAATCATTATTAATATGATAAAATGGTTGTTAAATTGATCTTTAGAACCCACAGGGATGATAAAACAGTTAAACTGATCTTTAGCACCCACAGGGCTGCTACTTAATTTACTATTGCCATTGAGTTGAATCTGACTCACAGCAACCCTTTATAGGGTTTCTGAGGCGGTAAATCTTTACAGGAGCAGAAAACCTCACCTTTCTCCTGTGGAGCAGCTAGTGGGTTTCAACTACATTTCAGTTCATAGTGAAAATCATTTCACTTCATAGTGACCGTATATGTACAGCAGAACAAAACACTGCCCAGTCCTGTACCATCCTCACAATTGCTATATTTGAGATCACAGTGTCAATCAATCTTTTTGAGGATTTTCTTCAATTTTTGCTGACCCTTTATTTGTGGAGAATCCTGGTGTGGCACTGTGGGTTAACGTGCCAGCCTGTAAAGCAGTCTATGAATATGTGTATATGGATCTGTATACATATAAACAATATGCATGTTAATATATTTAGGGAAAATCCACTTTTATTTTTCCTATTTTCCCCTGAACTGCTGCCTATTTTTTGAAGCAAATGAGAACAGACAAGCATGTCATGATGGACACTACTCACAGACTCAAAACAAAAGGATTAGTGGACAAGTCACAACTCTTGAAACCTACTAAGAAAGCGAAAAAGAAAAGATAGATGAATCATTTACCTAATGCAATTACCATGAAGATGTTAAAGCTTGTTATACAGAGTAAGTACGGCGGTCGATCTTGTGATTTTACACTGAGACTTTATTGGAAACAAATTCTAGACCAAAAACTCAAATACTGTAAGAGTTAGAAGGATGAACCATATGTTTTAACTTTGAAGTTTTCATGATGAAGTTGAAAGATTTAATAAAATTTATGAGAGTTCTCCTAAAGTGTTTTACATTTTCACATCTGGACCATACAAAATTTTCAATGTAGGCTCCAGATGTGGAAATTTAAAAAGATCATGCAAAGTAACTGCTTACATGAATAAATGAAAAGCCATTATCATGAATTGGAAACTATTATTTATCTTGTTTTTCAATACCAAGAAAAGGCGAGTGGGGAGATCAAGAGTCTGGGATGGTAAAAGTTTTGTTAACTGCCCAAACGAGTTGGATCAAACGTTACTACATGACTCTCTGTTCAATCACTCCCTAGGCAGTCCCATTTACTTTTTACCACTGCCACTGCCTTAGTAGGGAGCTCTGGCAGCGTAGTGGTTATGAATTGGGCTGCGAACCCCAATGTCAGCAGTTCGAAACTACCAGCTGTTCCATGGGAGAAAGATGAGGCTTTCTACTCCGGTGAGGATTGGAAACACTGTGCAGGGTCGCTATGAGTCAGAACGACTCCACGGCCCATAACAACAACAACAGCTGCCTTATTACAGATCCTTATTGCTTTTCACTTGAAATTCTGTAATTGTCTAGTCTCATCTAACTTTTATATTATCAAAGTAATTTAAAAATGTAAACCTGATCATACCATTCTTCTGCTTAAATTTCTTCAATGGCTTCACACTTTCAGCTTTTAACTTTTAGAAGATAAAAGTGAAAACTTGCCTGGATGATAGTCAAGATCCTATGTTCTAGCTTGTTCTTGCTTATCTGTCTGGTCATCTTCCCCTGTGTACTTAAGTGTGTTGTTGTTGCTGTTAAGTGTCATCAAATCATTTCACTTCATAGTGACTGTATATGTACAGCAGAACAAAACACTGCCCAGTCCTGTACCACCCTCACAATTGCTTCATTTGAGGTCACAGTGTCAGTCAATCTTTTTGAGGATTTTCTTCATTTTTTGCTGACCCTTTATTTGTGGAGAATCCTGGTGTGGCGCTGTGGGTTAACGTGCCAGCCTGTAAAGCAGTCTGAACTGCAAGGTTGGCGGTTCAAGCTCACCAGCTGCTCCTCGGACACCCTATACTGGGTCGCTATGGGTTGGAATCGACTTGACAGCACTTCACAACAATAACAGCATACTTGTGGAGCTGTCGGTTAATGCGTTGGACTGCAAAGTTGGTTTGAATCACAAGGTTGTCAGTTCAAACTCACTAGCAGCTCTTTGGAAACCCTATACAGGGTCACTACAGATCAGAAGCGACTCAGTGGCACTTAACAAACAACAACAACAACACACTTTACCAAGAATATGCATATGTCCAGGTATATGTCCATCTCCAAGGAATGGACCATCCTGATATCCAAAGTATGTGAGACAAAGTCTCGCCATCCTCACTTCTAACGAATATTCCAGCTGTACTAATTCCAACACAGGTTGTTCTTCTGGTAGTCTGTGGTGCATTTGATATTCTTCACCAATACCATATTAATTATCTTCTAGTCATCCTTATTCACTGTACAGCTTTCATGAGCATATGAAGTGACTGAAAAATATCGTGGATTGGGTCAGGTGCACCTTAGTTTTCAAAGTTGTATTCTGCTCTATACTTTAAGAGGTCTTTTGCATCAGATTTGCCCAATGCAATATGCCATTTGACTGCTTGACTCAAGTTTGAATGAATGCTGACAACTTCAATCTTTTCTCCATGTATCATGTTATTCACTGGTCCAATTCTGAGGGTTTTCATTTTCTTTACATTGAGTTATAATTCATACTGAAGGCTGTAGTCTTTGGTCTTCATCAGTAAGCGCTTCAAGTCCTATTCGCTTCCAGCAAGCACAATGGAGTATTCTGGAACAGCCATTCCTTGTAATGTTATTCTTAGTTTATTATGACTGACAACAGTTGAAATCTTTTGCATACTATTACTTACTATTAGCAAATTTGAGAAAAGTACCTAACCTCACTAGGCCTTAGTTTCTTATTTATAGAAAGTGTATCATAAATTTGTTGTTTGCTGTAATGTTGGTCCCGACCCATAGGGACCCTGTATAGGGATTCCGAGAGTGGGTGGTGGGTTTGAACTATCAAGTGGATTGTGGGAGAAAGATGAGGCTTTCTGCTCCCGTAAAGATTTACAGCCTCAGAAACCCTGCATAGGGCCACTGTGAGTCAGAACCAGCTCCACAGCACACCACCACCACTATCACCAGATGGAATATTTTCAATACCATGGATTGCCAGAATAACAAACAAATATGTCTTGGAAATACAGCCAGAATGTTCCTTAGAAGTGAGGATGGTGAGACTCAGACTCTCATACTTTGGACATGTTCTCAGGAGAAACCAACCCTAGGAGAATGACATGTTTGTAAAGTGGAGGGTCAGCAAAAAAGTGGAAGACTCGCAGTGAGATGGACTGACGCAGCAGCAGCAACAAACACACCAACTGTGAAGCTGGTGCAGCACCGGGCAGTGGTTTGTTCTGTAGTGTACAGAGCAACTGTGACTCAGAACGAACTCAATGGCACCTAACAACAACAATGCCTGAGATAGCAACATTTATGCATTCATTGCATTTTTGAAGACTGCCAATTCTCCTAAATTCATACTTTGTATGTTCCAGATTATGATTAATGGATGCTTGCAGCTGTTTCTTCTTGTTATGAGTCATGTCATATCAGAAATTAAAGGCTTCAACACTTTTACTCTATCCAGGT